AGAAAGAAAGAAAGAAAGAAAGAAAGAAAGAAAGAAAAAGGGAGATCATCTCAGCAAGATGATCTAACGAAATGACAATAGTAATAGACTCAAGAATATCAGAGATGATAAGGATGGTATAAGATAGAGCAAGGTTCAGAGCTCATAGTTCATAGGATCACTAAGCGTTACAGTCAATCAACTACACCTAACAGCGGCAGCAACACTATAACTAAGACATAAGTCTCATTATAATGTCATTATTCTCGATATTGTAAATCCCAGCGTCTGTGATGTCAATAGGCGCTCTGGTGGCTTAGTAGTAAGGAGTCGTCAGCTTTAGCTGCCAGCGTAAAGGCACGTGGTGTGAATCCACCAGCTGCTCCACAGAAGAAAGATGGATGATCTGCTTCTATTTGACTAACAGCCTCTGTAAACCCACTGAAGTGTCAGCTATGGATTGGTTCAGACTGGGTAGTACATAGCAACGTGATGTTAATGGTGCAAGATTGGAGCCAGTTGTGCCAGAATGTCATCATTCCCCATGCTGTGAGCTAAGAATGAGCAGTTTGAAAGCGGTCCGGGCAGGATGCAGTACCCTTAATCAGGGCACAGCCCGGATCAGATCAAAGAGGAGTTTCCTGTGGCATGGCTCGTAATGCCTGTCATCGTCTGTGATAAAAAGGAGGGAAAGCTTGAGACGGGATTTCAGAATCATCAGGATGGAAGAGCAGAGACTGGGATGCATCCGTTGGCCAGGGTCCCTGTGCTGACAAGTTCCTCAACACAAGGGAAGGACAAGATATATGGACACTTTCAAGGAATGTGCAGCCCACAGATGCGAAAAGAAGCAAAATGATCTTCCACTAACATTGACACAGATAAAAGGCATCACGAATCTGACGGCTAGCATCCTAAACTGTAAGAGAGTAAATGTCAGTTAGTCTCTCTGTGGTCTCTTTGATATAGCAGCACTAGGCGATTAGCACACTCTCATTTGTGGTCTCTCTCTTCTGCAAGAATAGATGACTAGATTCAAAGTTTGATACTGAATAAGGATGACAGGAGAAGAATTGATGCTTTTGAAGTGTGGTGTTAGAGAAGAGTGCTTACTATCCCAAGGACTGCCAAAAGAATAAATAGATATGTCTTCGAGAAAGTACACAGGTGGAAAAGCTTTATCTCACATACTTTGGATATGTTGCTAAGAGAGTCTATTGCTTGGAGAGAGATGTCATTCTTGGAAAGGTGAAGGGCCAGTGAAAGAGGAAGGCTCTCAGCTAGATGGATTGACACAGTGTCGGTAACAATGAACTTGAGTAAGTCAGAGAGAGTATGTCGGAGAGGATAGCACAGGATAGGACAGGGTTCAGACCGCTCCTTCATAGGTTTGCCAGGGGTCATGCTCAATAGCACCTAGCAACAACAACAACAACAACAATAAATTACTAAGACACACCCATTTGTGATATTGTTATGGTTACACTAGATGTCCAAGAAACAGCTCAATACTTAGCATGCACCACCAGGACTCTGTCTACAAGACACAGGTGGGTTGACCTCACAGGGCCATTCTAAGGCACTCAGGAGCCCCGTGTCAGAAAGAGGGGAGATACCACACTATTGGCTTTGAAGATGGAGGGAGGGCATCATTGGTCAAGGAATTCGGACATTACCTTCACTTTTGAAGCTGTAGGTAGCGATGTCTGGCTTCTTGGTGGTGAAGCCTGCCTTGGGAATACATCTGTAACTTCCTGGGGTGTTGCGACAGTTGAAATTCTTAGGACAGGTCCCAGGTTTGAGGCATTCATTGATGTCTAAGAGGGAAAGAAGAATTGTCATCAGCTATACACCTCTGGTAAATGAGTTTTATTCACACCTCCTGTCTATATCACTGATACTGAGAATTGTGTCTCCATGTGGGATGGATTGGGCCACAAGGAACCCAAGAATAACCAGAATAGACAAAATAAAGCATGAGTATATCTCAACGAGTTTTCTGCAAAGAGAAAGAAGATCATTTAGACAGTATATATATGGAAGATGGACAACAAGTAAGGACGATCAAGTAGAGCATTTATGAGCTGGCAAAGAATATTGAATAAACGATAGATTGTTAGAAGAGTAAACAAATCTGTCTTGGAAGAAGGGCAGGTATAATTTTCTTTAGAACAAGGATATTTTCAGGAGGATTCAGTGTCTGGAAAAGGACTTTTTGTTTGGAGAGGTAGAGGGTTCATGAAAAAGAAGAAAAGCCCTTAAAGAGATGGGTTGATGCAGTGTGTATGGCAATGGGCTCCAACAGTAATGGTTGTGAGAATGTTGCAGGTCTGGGCAGATGTTCTTTTCACCTACAGTGTCATTGTGAGTTGAAATGGACTAGATGGCACCTATCAAAAACAATAACAACAACAACAATAACAACAACAGCAACAACAACAAAGTCTGTGTTTGGAGTTCTGGGTTAAGTCCTCAAGCTGAAAGGTTGATTGGTTGGATATACCAAGAAACACTTCAGAAGAAAGGCCTGGCAACCCACTTCTGAATGATCTTGAAAACCCTGTGAAGCAGTTATCCTTTGCACACATGGGCCTATTATGCATTAGATTCGGCACGGTGGCAAATGGCTTGGTTGTACTTACAACACGTATTGACAGCAATAGCCTCAATCCTTAACAATAACACAAAGTTCAATACAAATCCTGATTTTTAAGTTATCTGGAAGCCAAAGATAGGAGAAAAACCACAATACACGATAATGAGAAGTTAATGAAAGCAAATACTATGGTCATTGCTGTGAGGTACCGTTGAGTCAGTTTAAACTCATAGTGACCCCTTGGGCAACAGATCAAAACACCACTAAATCCTGGGTTACTTTTGCAATAGCCACCGCTCTTAACCCCATTGTTGCAATCAGTGTGTCAATATATCTCACTGAGAGTTTTCCTCTCCCCTGCCCTCCCATTCACCTAGCATAATGTCTATTTCTAGGGACTGGTCCTTCCTGGCAACATGTCCCAGCTTTGTGAGACAAACATTCACTATCCTTCTAAGGAACATCCTGGCTCCACTTCTTCAAGATTGAGGTGGTGTTTGTGTTTTTGGTTTGTTTTTTTTTTACCCCTTTGGGCTTTCCTTGGTATAGTCAACACCACAATTCAAATCATCAACTCTTTTTTTTAAAAAAAAAATCTATTTTATTCATTGTCCAAGTCTCACAGGCACATGTTGTTGTTTTTATGTGCCGTCGAGTTGCTTGCGACTCATAGCGACCCTATGGACGACAGCCCTAAACCCTGCTCTATCCTGTGCCAATCGCATTGCCGCTGACACTTCCATCCCGATTATCCCAGTCACTGAATCAATCCACCTCATAGAGGGTCTTCCCCTCCTGCGCTGTCCCTCTACTCTACCCAGCATGATGTTCCTCTCCAAGGACCTGTCTCTCCTTACAACATGTCCAAAGTATGTCAGACACATGAGGTGATTGAAAATACCTTGGCACCTAATCTATTAGGGTTACAGATTCTTCACATAATCTCATGAAAGTGAAGACGTTTAAAAAGGGACAGAGAAACACTGTGAACTGTTTCCCAGTAACGTTTAGAGATTTTAGCCAGTGCTTTAAAACTCAAAACGAAACCTACCTCTATTGAATCAATTCTGACTGTAGTGACCCTACATTGGGTTTCCGAGGTTATAAATCTTTACATGTGAAGACTGCCTCTTTTTTTCCTCTCTTAGAGCACTGATATATTTGACTTGATGACCCTTCAGGCAGCAGCCTGATGGTGTAACACAGAGGGGAAGCCTACGCAATGCAAAAATACAAGAGAAAATACATTTTATATCTGTCTAAGAAATTAAACAGCAAAATATATCTTTGGATCTAAGCTGATGGTCCTGTCAATCACTTGCTATGTATCTGAGACCTGGACAATCACTAAGGATGATAGAAGAATTGATGCCTTTGAGCTCCGGTGTTGGAGACGAGCTCTAACTATTCCATGGACTTGCCAACAAAACAAACGGATATATCTAGGAGAAAGCACAGCTGAGTGTGCCTTGGGAAGGATGACAAAGCTTTGTCTTTCATGTTTCAGACATGTTTTTGGGAAAGGCTATTTCTTGAGGAGGAACATGATGCTTGGAAAGGTCTGTGGGGTCCGAGAAATAGAGGAAGATTCTCAAGGAGATGAACTGACGCAGTGACTTCTGCAATGGGCTCACGTATGTTAGGAATGATGAGGATGGCGCAGAATAGGACAGGGTTCAGATCTGTTATTCATAGGATGGTTGTGAATCATGCTCAACTCGGTGATGCCTGACAACAACAATAATAACAACAAAAATAACAAAGCTGACTGTAAGGAAAATTGAAGATAACAATGTAAAAAAGCTTGAAAGTCATGTAGTAATGGATAAGTCAGTATGGTGGTGGTGGTGTTCTGTGCCATCAAGTTGCCTACAACACAATGTATGCACAACAGCTCTGAACCCTTCCTTATCCTGAGCCAGTCTCACTAATTCCAACATACCAACCCTCACTGGCCCAGTTACTGTATCAAATCGTCTCATCTGGGGTCTCTCTCTCCTGCACTGTCCCTCCACCCTTCCAAGCATGATGTTCTTCTCCAAGGACTGGTCTCTCCTGGTCATGTGCCAAAAGTATGTAAGACAGAGCTTCAAAATCTTAGCCTCCAAGGAGAAACTCGGTTTCATCCTCTCCAAGACAGACCTATTTGTTTTCTTGGCGGTCCATGGTATGTTCAAGACTCTTCTGCAGCACCACAACTTGAAGGCATCTATTCTTCTTCTGTCATCCTTAGTCATTGTCCAGCTCTCTGAAGCATAACAGGTAATTGAGAAGACCATGGCCTGTATCAGGTACACCTTAGTCTCTAGACTGACGTGGTTGCTTTTCAGTATTCTGGAGAGGTCCCTGACAGCAGTTTTTCCCAATGCAATTCATCTTTTGATTTCTTGACTGCTGTTAAACGGTAACTGTTAACAATCTCAGTCTCTTCTTTATTTGTTATGGTATTGCCAGTTGGCCCAGTGGTGAAAATCTTTGTCTTCTTAATGTTGAGCTTCAATCCATACGGAAGACTACAGTTCTTGACCTTCTGCAGCAAGTGCTTCGGGTTCTCCTCCATTTCAGCAAGCAAGGTTGTGTCATCTGCATGATATAGGTTGTTAATGAGTCTTCCTCCAATGTTGATGCTACATTACTCTTCATAAAAGCCATTTCCTCAATCCCAGAGGTACGTGGTTCAAATCCACCAGATGCTCTGCTGGAGAAGGAGGGGCAATCTCCTCCTGTAGCAGTCAGATCTGATTTGACGGTACACGTAAAAATAATACAATAAAAATTTTAAAAAAGCCATTTCCTGAGCTGTCTGTTCTGCATATAGATTGAAAAGTATGGAGACAGGGTTCATCCCTGACACACTCCTTGCCTGATTTTGAACCATCCATTGTTTCCTTGCTCTGTTCTGAGGACTACTTCCCGGACCAAGCATAGGTTTCACATCAGCACAATCAAGTGTACAGAGATAAGTATGCAAAAATTAGGAGTATTCATGAACATAAAAATGACAACTTTAAAAATATGAAAGAAAAATATGTTTGAATTTTATGAATATGAATTTGTGAATATGTATGCGTATTTCATGGAGTTCTGGCTGTGTAATTAGGGGGTACTTTTTAACCCAAAGGCAACATCTCTCTGGGAGTTCAAGTTCACTAGTCATTTCACAGGGATAAAAGATGGGTAATCTTCTCCTGTGTAATTACAGCCTCCAAAAACCTCCGGAGTGTTAGCTGTAAGTGAATTCTGACTCAATAGCAACAGGGTTGATTTTGAACTTTCTGAATATTTATTAAGAGATTGGATGGTATACTGGTGAAAGAGCTCAGATGCTAATCAAAACACTGGAAACCCTAACCCACCATCTGCCTTGTGAGAGAGAGAGATGAGACAGTCTTCTGCCGAGATTTACAGCTTTGGAAATTCTTTGTTCTACTACACGACAGTTTATCTTATAATATGGCTGTGAGTGGGAGTTGAGTGGATAAGTATGAATGCTTTCATGTATATTTTTAAAATAAAAACGATCAACAATAGGACCAAGAGTGAGAACCTGTGGACACACTTGAAGAGATCTTCATGGAACTTATTTAAAGCTATCAACAAATCTCTGTAGAGGAATGTCTGATATGCATAAAATAAAGTCTTGTGCCAAGTTTCTAAACTGAAATGCTCCAGTGATAACAGTCACAGTTCCTCCACACAATTCAACAAGTATTCTTTTTCTCATGGTGGCACAAAGAGTTAAGTGCTTATAAGGCTCATAGGGTCGCTATGAGTCGCAGGCGACTCGACGGCACATAACAACAACAACAACAAGGCTCCTAAGAGACTGAAAGTTCTAATCTACCTAGTGGGTCTTAAAGAGAAAATCTTGATTGATTTCTTCCCTATAAATAGTTGTTTTTCCAAAGTGCTGAAGAGCAATGGCGTCTCTCTGGAGACTAAGGTGCTTTTGATACAGGCCATGGTCTTCACAATCACTTGTTTTGCATCAGAGAGTTGGACAATGACCAAGGAGGATAGAAAGAGAATTGATGCCTTTGAGCTGTGGTGCTGGAGAAGAGTATTGAGAGTACCATGGAGTGCTAGGAAAACAAATTCATTCTGGAAAGGGTTAAACCAGGTGGATCCTTGGAGGCAAGGATTTTGAGGCTTCGTCTGACATACTTGGACATGTTGAAAGGAGAGACCGGTCCTTGGAGAAGGACATCATGCTTGGGAGGG